AAATCATTAGGAATTATTTTGCTAACCAAATAGTTCGCATAATCAGCATACCAAGGGACTTCAGAAATAGCTAAAAGATACTCATCCACAAAATGTCCTTTAATCTCATAACTATCATGCTGCAAAGAAGACTCTGGCCTAGACAAATGATCCGCTACTTAGTTTTCTGTTCCTTTTCTATCTTTTATCTCTAAGTCAATGTCTTGTAGCAACAAGATCCATCTAATCAACCTAGACTTAGCTTCTTTTTTAGCAAACAAGTATTTAAGTGCAGAATGATCAGTAAACACTATCACTTTAGTCTCAATCATTATGAACGAAACTTATCAAATGCGAAAACATCAGCCAACAGTTCTTTCTCAGTCACAGTATAGTTTAACTGACTACTATTCAAGGTTTTACTTGCATAATAAACAGGATGAAGAACTTTACCTTTTATTTGGCCTAACATCACACCTACAACGAAATCACTTGCATCACACATTAGTTCAAATGGCAAGTTCCAATCTGGTTCAATTATGATAGGTGCTGAGTTAAGTGCATTCTTAAATGTCTCAAAAGCTTTCAAACAATGTTCATAAAAAACAAACGGTCCATTCACTTCCAACAACTGACACAAAGGTTTAGAAATTTTAGCAAAATCTTTTATAAAACGGTGGTAGAAACCCGCATGTCCTAAGAAACTTCTAACACCTTTTATAGTTGTACGAGGGGGTAGTTTTGCAATTACATCTATTTTAGCCCTATCGACCTCAATTCCTTTTTCTGAAATTCTGTGACCTAGGACTATACCTTCACGTACCATAAAATGACACTTCTCCCAATTAAGCACAAGGTTAGTCTCTTCACACCTTTTTAAAACATTCTCTAAGTTCTCTTAACAAACATTAAACGACTCACCAAACATAGAAAAATCATCAATTAATATTTCTACCGTGCTTTCTACCATGTCAGAGAAAATAGGGGTCATGCATCTTTGGAAGGTGGCAGCCGCATTACAAAGACCGAACGGCATCCTCCGGAACGCAAATGTCCCATAGGGACACGTGAACATAGTCTTTCCTTGGTCCTTCGGTGCTATAGTAATCTGGTTGTAACCAGAATACCCGTCTAGGAAACAATTACACTCTTTCCCTGCAAGACGATCAAGCATTAGGTCAATAAAGGGTAATGGAAAATGGTATTTTCGAGTTACCTTGTTTAAGCGACGGTAGTCGATACACACTCTCCAACAAGTTACCATTCTTGTTGGGAGCAACTCGTTGTCGTCGTTTGTAATCACTGCCATACCACCTTACTTGGGAACGCATTGAACCGGGCTAACCCAGCTGCTATCTGAGATGAGGTAGATCACCCCGGCRTTTAACAATTTTATGATCTCCTTCTTGACCACCTCTTTCATTTTGGGGTTCAGCCTCATTTGGCACTCGATAGAATTGGTGGCTTCTTCCTCCAAGATGATTTTGTGCATGCAAAATGTAGGGCTAATTCCTCTTATGTCTGTTATGGTCCATCCAATAGCCCTCTTATACTTAAACAAAACTTGCAAAAGCATAGATTCATGTTCACTAGACAAATACGAAGAAATGATAACCGGCAAAGAATCGTTTAAACCAAAATAAGCATATTTTAAATGAGAAGATAGGGGTTTCTTCTCCAATTCTGAAGGTTTAATGATGGAAAGTTTCAAGACCTTCAAATCAGCTATTGTCGGTTGAAAATGCTCAAAATGCTCAAATGATGGCAAAATTACGCCAGCTTCTTTTTCTGCAGCCTCCAAATCTGCTTCTAAGTCTTCCACAATCATTTCCTGTAGTTCCTCCATTATTGCCCCTATTGCAGAGCAGTCTTCGACTTCATCCGGGAGCCTCCTTACATCAAGGACGTTGAAGGTGATTTGCTCATCATTAACCTTCATAGTGATGTTTCCCTTCCTAACATTTAATATCGTATGTCTAATTGCAAAACATGGCCTCTCAAGAATGATCGACACTTCAAGATCTGCTTCATAATCCAAAATTATGAAATCGGCGGGAAAAATAAATTTATCTACTTTAACAAGCACGTATTCTATTTTCCGTTCCGGTTTCTTAATAGACCTATCGGCTAGTTGCGAAGTAACGCTAGTGGGACGAATTTCTCCTATATTTAACTTTTTAAAGACAGGAACAGGCATAAGATTAATGCTTGCTTCTAAGTCACACAATGCTCTTCCTAGGTTCTTACCACCTATTGAGCAAGGGATAGTTAAACTACCTGGGTCCTTACATTTAACAGGCAATGGATTCCCTAGAGCATCACTACTACACTTTGTTAAGGCTACCATGTATGCTCACCTAGTTTCTTACGCCTATGTATGATATCTTTAAAACACGTGGTGTAGTTAGGCATTTGTTCTAAAGCATCTATGAGAGGTATATTTATATGCAATTGTTTTAAAATCTCAAATAACTTCTTAAAATGACTATCCTGATTCTTTTTTACTAACCTTTGGGGGAAAGGTGGAGGAATCTTAATATTACCTACCTGTGGAGTAGTGCAAGGCACTACTTGCTTACCCTTATTCGCCTTCTTACCTTTTTCTTCTGAACTTATGGGTTATACTTTCTCTTCTTGTTGTGGATTGGAGGTAGATGCAGGGGCAGGTGTAACTGCATCAGTTCCTTCGTCTGGGAGTGATGGTCCTTCATAACTTAGTCGGCTTCTCGTGATAACCGCCTTACAGTGCTCCTTTCCCTCACGATCTCGCTTCGGGTTCTTTATGTGTCCAGGAAATGTACCTTGGGGTCTAGGATTTTTGCTCATTTGCTATCTGCCCCACTTACATCTCCAAGCTCCTTATCGCAACATCAGTTCTTGTCACGAACTCTTTTGTTGAAGCTTCACTTATTGTCATGAATTTTTTTGTTGTATCTTTGCTTCTTGTCATGAATTCTTTCATCATGGCCTCTAAACTTGTGTTGCTACTACTTTGTTGAGTAGTATTTTGAACTCTTTGTTGATTGTATTGTTGTGGATGCGTCACCGGTTGAGTTGGAAAACCAGGAAGAGTGTAGTTTTGCTTGTATTGCTGAACGGGTGCTTGCGCACTGCTACTAGCTACTCCTTGGTTACTCCAAGAAAAGTTTGGATGGTGCCTCCATCCAGGGTGGTAAGTGTTTGAATATGGATTGAAATTATGCTGGACACCTTGTCCTACATAGAAAATAGATGTTGTATTAGCTGGACAGTTCTAATACAAGTGGTTATCACCACAATAGACACAAGATATATCTGAAATTTGTAAAATAGGAGAAGGTTCAGGCATCGCCTAAGTGGCAGTTTTGGTTTCCTTCTCCATTGTCAGTTGCTTTAACATCTGGTTCATAGCCGCCATTTGGGCTTGCATTGAAGCTACTGTGTCTAACTCAAAGATTCCGGCTGATACTTGCTTCTTTGGCAATGACCTCTCTATTTCGCATTGGTTATTAATGTTTGTCATCTTGTTTAAGATATCAACGATCTCATTTACCGACTTTTCTAATAATGAGCCATTGGCTGCGGTGTTCAACATCATTTTTTATTAACGATCCGATCCTCTATAGAATTGTTCAATTTGCACACATGCGGGCAATTCATGGCTCGAGTATCTTCTCAGTAACTCCTTAAAACTCTCCCAAGCTTCTTGAACTGCTTCATTCTCCTTTTGTCAGAAAGACACAATTTCTTCTCGAAGGTTTGCGTTCCTAGTCAAAGTATGGTACTTCGTCAAATTCTCCATTAGTTCTACCCACGTGTTGATAAAATTTGGTTTTAGTGCGTTTAGCCAAGTCCTTGCACTGTCTCTGAGAGAAAAAGGAAACAATTTTAATCTTAGTGCATCCTCACAGACACCAGGAAGTTGAAATGTATTAGATATTTCAATAAAAGATTTAAGATGGGAGTAAGGATCTTCGTTAGTCAATCCTCCGAACTAGCCCATTGTCTGCAACATTTGGAACATCATTGGCTTAAGCTCGAACTATGCAGCTTAGGGTAAAGGATTATTTATCCCTAAATTTAACTTGTGGAACGCATGAGTGGCATAATTTCGCATGGCTACATCTTGGTTATTTGCTAGAAAAATCAGATTAGGAACTTCTACTGCTCGGTTTGCTGGTCGTTCACCTGCCATATCTCAGTTCACAGGTGGATTTTGTGGAGGTGGAGGATCTTGCGGATTTCTATTCATCTCGATGGTCTCTTCTTCACATTCTTTCTCTTTTCGAGTTTCTCTTTCTTTTCTCAACCTCTGCTCACGCCTTATCCTCTTAAGGGTTCTTTCAATCTCTGGATCAAATGTCAACCACCCAGACCCTGTGGTCATACACAACTCCCTTAAAGGTTAGATATAACAATTAAGTCCAATGACAAAGGTATGCAACAATCACACATGAAACAATTCACTTGAAAAGAATATGGTTTTGAAAAATAAGTCCCCAGCAACGGCGCCGAAAACTTTTTGGGACTTTCTTTACCTTTAAAAAGATCAAAGACTCGTGCAAGCGCACATGGTGGCAAGTAATACTCGGAAGTAATCCAAGGTCGAATCCTTAGGGACTTGTTGCTTTTCAAAACAGTTTTTTAAGAAGTGAACAGTTCAAATATGCAATTGTGATTTAGGAAGAAAATAGTGGTGAAATGTTGTTGTTTAGGGTTTTAACTAACAAGCAATTTAATAACCCTCAACCTTCTTGTCTCCTACCTTAGTTTTGATGCAAAACATGGAAAACACACTATGTTGGGAAAATGCACCAGGTGCAATTTCTGACTTTTCTTGGGCTTTGAGTTCTACTATTTCACTACCTCTTTTGGTTGCTGTAGAAGCTAGAGTAACCTACAATCATATGCCTATGTATGGTTACAATGCTAGAGAATATCTACCAACTCATTTGCATTTTGGGTCAGAGGGCCTATGTCTAGGACCATGTTTTATGCGCTTATTCCTAAGTCACATCCCATATTGGTTTCCTATTATTTTACCTAACTCACCTTTGTCAAGGGTGGGCTTTGGTGTATAAATCAAGTTCTCATTGGCCAAATGGAAAAATGACGTAAAGAGAAGTTTTTAGAAACTAACTCAAAAAAGTACCAGGTGGAATCTGGCCAAAATCTCGAGCTGTTGAAAATCAAATCATTTGACTAAGGCATTCCACAAGGAGGTTGATAACTAATTTAGAACATAATTAAATGAAAGTAAATGCATGAAAACATAAATAAAGTTTTTTCATTGAATTTAAATGAATAAATAAGCCGTACAAGGAGTTCTAGCTTGACCCTCTTCTCTCTCGAGCATGAGGGGAGTTAAAACTCGCTAAGAACTTTAAAACAACATAATTAACAAAAAACGAAAGTAAGAACTTGAATTAAAAGCAATACGAAAGGTAAAAGCGTGAAAAACAAGGAAATGGACAACTAAAACATGAACATAAACACTAAGAACGTCTTCTACAACTAGAGAGCATCTAAAAGAAGATGAAATGAAGCTTGGAAGGGATGGAATTCTGCTGGATGCATGGCTTCCTCTTATAGCACCATAGGTTGGTCGAAACTCCCCTCTATTTTAGGTGGAAATGGATTGAGATTCACCTAACCACCTCACTTGGACTTGGACTCATGATTTTAAATATGTGGGAAATTTCTTCATTGCCCTTCATTAGTCAAAACGTGCATTTTGACATTTTGTCCTCCAAAAATACGTCGAGCGCAATTCTACAAAAAACAGCATTCTGTTATTTTCTTCCAATTTTGACCGCATTTTTCTCATATTTTTCCTAAAGTATCATAGTTTGACTTTTACGTAGAAATAATCTATGCATGTTCTACTTTAAGAATATGTGGTCCTTTTTGGAAAATAATAATGAGAAAGAGGTCAAAAACGTTGTCAAACAGGGCTACCGACACATGTTTTTGTCTATTTTGAGAGATGGCACGGAGGACAAAAAATGTGTGCATAATTGTGAACAGGTGCCTTTGCAGATTGCACCCCTTGGGAGTTTGTGAAGTCAAAGCTTGTCAAATGTCATCCAAATGTAAAGCGCCTCCTACAGCACATAGATAAAACCATTTGAAGCGTGACTACGTTTTCTAATCTGCATTTAAGTGACTAGAATGATGTGCAATCAAGTTTCAATTTGCATGTCTTATTTTCTACAATTTGCATTAAGTAGTATTTTGAAAAACTTTTGGTGTTCTTTTGTTGAACAACCATTTGGCCTATTTAAAGGCTTGGAATGCTCTTGTTATGGGGAGAACCTAAGATTAAAACATATTGAAATTCAAGAACTTTTGTTCCTTAACACTTTTGGTGTTGCTTCTTTCAAATCTTTCTTTAGGTTTGATGTTAAACTGATTCATTGGATTAGTCTCGATCAAGCTAATTCTGGAGTGAGTCGTCTTAGGATCTAGGAGTGACCATCGTAGATTCTAAGTTCGATCTAAGAGTGATTCATCTTCTAACCTTACTCTTGGTTGGAATCATTCGGTAAGTTAGTCGTTTTTGTGAATGTTTGCAAGGATCCTAGAAGGACCTCTAGCTTTGTAAACCCGAGCAACCTTGGCGCTTATCATTTGGTATCAGAGCATTGGTCGACATCCTTTGGCCGGCTCTAGAGGTGAAATATCTTTACTTTATGTAATTTTATTTTTCTGTTATTTTCCTTTTTCGAAAGTAGTTTCTTACAAAGTGTAACAAGACATAACTTGTCTTGAAATTCTTGTATTTTGCTTTCGGATCATTAGCAAAAAAAAATTAGAAGCAAAAGAAAAAAAAACATAAGCAAAAGAAAGAAAAAACAGTAGCAAAAAGAAACAAAAACAGTAGCAAAAAGAAAGAAACCCGTAGAAAAAAAAAAGCATTCGAAGATCCGAGGCACACGAAAAGTTCTTTTCATTATGTTGTGTTTTGTTTAAATTATCAAGTTGTTTATCCTAAGATTGAGTTGYWGTAGCCTTAGTTTGTGAGAGTTGATCATTGAATTAGTTATATCAAGCTTTAAGCAAGATTGCACCAAAATTTAAGCCAACCCTTACATCTTTGACCTAGTACCAAAAGCCTACCCTCGAGTGAGAAACACGAGTGTCCTTGAGTGAAATCCTAGTGAGAGGAGTGGAAAGGTCTTTATTTTGTTATTTTATTTTTCTAACAAAATATCACAGGAAGTACCGCAAGATCCTACTATGGCTACTCTTCAATCAATTCAAGGTATGGTGGAAATGATGAGGGAAGATAGACAGGAAAGAAGGGTGCAACAACAAAGAGAAAAACGAGTCTTACAGGAAGATGAAGGTATGTTTGACTTCGATGTA